ACGTAGACATGAAAAACAAAACAAATGGTATGCAAAAAAAAAAACTGCTGAGGTGAGCATTCTGTTTGGCCAGGTAGATAAACCCTGGAGAATCAAAGGTGTTCAACAGCCAAGTGTGGCGGTTTTAATTTTTAATTTTTAATTTTTTTGGGGGGGGATTACTTTTTAATTATACTTTAAGGGAGACAGGAAACTGGTAGAGAGAGTGGTGGAATGACATTCAACCAGGGATCCTCAGGGCGAACCAACACCAACCACTTCAATATTTGGTCATCAACAAAAGCTTTAAACTTTAACAACGCTTGTTCTCCCAAATTAAACTTTCAAAATCCAACACAATTAAGTCAGGTCCAGTTTTAAGTAGTGGCCATTCTCCAATCCATAGTTTTAAAGTTTCATCAAAAACGTTCCTCTAAATCATCAGCGACTCCTGAACGTTTCCATACAGCAAGACTGACACTCGGCCTCTTCACTTGAGTGACTATTTTCAACACTTTAGCACCACTTCGTTATTTTGACCACAGCTCTGCTGGCAGAGTCGGGGCATTCATTTTCCACAGCTCTCCATGTGCCCACAAGGCCCACACGCCTCAGTGCCAGCTGTTTGGCTGTCCCACCACCCAGCTCAGCAAACACAGGGAAAGGCATTCGAGATGCTCTAAAAGTGTCTCTGCAGTGCTACTTCCCACAGCAAAGGAATTAAACTGATAAATATACACTGCATGTCTGTGGATGTCAATAATATTTGTGTATTATTTTAGTGATAAAAGGATTTTCCATCCGCTGTAACGCTACACAAAAGGCAGTTTTCCATTAAAGGAACTATGGAAACGAGCAGGTTGGTGCGAATATTTGCATGAACAGGCTTCTAATCGCCACTTTCCATTGTGGTGGCTCAGAGCGCACCAAAACAACAAGGAATAGCAGCTACTGGTAACTCGTAACTCTCGTCTTATGAGCATCTATGAAGGAGAACAATGGACGGTTTGATGGAATTTTATGTTGTTGATGGTGATAGAGGAGAAAACTGATAGTCCAAGAGGGAGAAAAAAAAAGGCACTCGTTGTCTTCTTCCAATTAAACCAATCAGCTTCAAACCAAACAGAGATTAGCTCAGGAGTAGCTACCCCAAAGGATCTCAAATTTTTTCTCCATGGAAACAGGCCCGAAGGAGGTTCTAGAAACTAGGATCTTGGGAGTCAGAACACACAGAAAGGTTAAGGCCAGTTTTAAATAGTCCAGAAGTTCCTTCAGTGTCATCTGGTGATTCCCAACCAGGAGTACGAGAACATCAGCGATCCAGTTACCACAGGGTAAAACTGTCAAATACTTCAAAACTAAGACAGAAATGGATATACTTTGATAAAAGAATGTATTCACATATATTTGTAGCACATTTCTTGTGCCACTAGCCACTAAACTACCAGCTACATTAGCTCAAGTGCAGGGAACACACCTCCCACCAGCCTCAGTCAGCTGTAAAACCTTTACAACTCAAAGTGCTGCAGACTTGTTTGCAAGTGAGCACAGAAGTTGAACTAAATGGTTTTTGTCACTCCCAGGTTCTGGTTGTGTAAATGCAAACTTTATGGGGGGAAAAAAGTCAACGATTGTTTCCATTTGATTGTGATCAACAGTGTTAAGTAACTTCCACTTCAAAACCAAGACCACATTTAGAACAAATAGAGGGTGACCATGACAAAGGTGCCTGAAAATGCATATAAAACCATGTAAACATAAGACGACAGAGCCATTAATCATCAGCTCTCGAAAAATTAAAGGAACCTGATCTTTGAACTTTTGAAAGGTTGGGTCAGATGTTTGATCAAATCCATTCAATCCTTATGATTCTTTCACAGTGTTGGTTTATTTTCAGTAGCAACCCAAATGCATCTCTGAACAGGAAAACAGTCTGGAATGCTTCGTACTTACCTCCAACTAACAACACCAAACAAACTCACCCACCAGAGGCTCATTACAGCCACAATTTGGTCTCATGACTTGATCCTGGAGATCAAACTGAGCCCACAACACAGTGTAGGTTTCCCTGCCTGTGAGGTGCTGATAGGAGTCTGGTTTATCTGCAGAGGGGGATTTGTTTAAACACATGCAGAGGAGTGCAATTGTCATCAGTGACTATGGATTTAGATAAACACATTCCATAGGACAGAAATAAGAGTCTGTGGCTGAAAAGCACCTTCTACATTTAATAACGTCCACAGCACTAAGTAAGCAGCAGAGAAACTGGGTATTATTTCCATGACATCACCACAGGTAGATCTTTTGATGCATGTTTTTTTGTCATGGACTGCAAGCATGACTGAACTTGGACTTCTCAGAGTTGCCCTTGGCACTCATCATGGTGAATGGTTTACCTCATTCCCTAACAGAAGCACCGTTTGAATGCCTAATGCCAGAGACTCACAGCACATGAGATGGTTGTGAACAGGCTGTTTCTTGCTTATTAACCGACCAGTGGCTGTAATCAGCTCTGCCTTTCACTGACTAACTCCTTATTGCTGGATGTGGGGAGTTTCCCTCGACATACTTTAGTTTATCAAATGAAGCCAAAGGTCGAGAATCCTTATCTGATGTCCGACATAAAGTCAGTCATTTAGGTTCGTAAATATCTCTGCAAATAAACAACCTGCAGTGAAAACAAGCCCAACAAACGCTCCGTCTGCACCAAACGCCCATTGGTGTCTGCGCGCATTTTTCTTTTTTGCGTTTCTTCCTCCTGCAAACTTCTCCTACCTTCTTCAGGCTCTCTTTCTTCTTCTCCTCCTCATGTTGGTAAACGGGCATTTGCAGAAAGTCCTCTTCACAGCAGATGAAGCTCACCGTGCATCCCATCCGAGCAAAGCCAAAAAAGCGCACACGTCCAAACCCATTCAAAGCTCCGAGCCCTCGGTTCCGCTCCTGCGCTCCCGCTGCTCGAGGTGCAACCAATTATGACTTCATTCCGGCGAAACAACGCACCGCAGGTTGGCGCAGTCTGTCTGCCATCACGGCGTTGTCATTTGGGCGTTAAGGTAATAAATCTGCAGTTTTTTGGGGAGGGGGGTGGGAGTTCCTCACACTTGTTTTTCAGCCACCATGCGCTGCCTTGGTGCCGCACTGACACAGACTCACCGTGGAGCTCCAACAGGTAGTCTGCTGCCTGGAACTGACAAGCTGCTGGTCTCTGTCTGTGTTTCTGTGTTGGTGTTGTCATCCGGCTTTATGATTGGTCATTCAGGTTGTCACTCAAAGCCAAAGGGGGACTGATTGCTTGATAAACTCCACGTGCCAAAAACTGCAACAACAAATAATAACATGCCCCGTTTTTTTTTTGTTTTTTTTTTGTAATGAGTCCCCTATAATGTGAAATAAAAAATGCATCAGTTGGTGTGTCCAGTAAAGCCTCAATCGATTGGTCACTGATGGCCTCCAGCTGCGTCTCCAGACCTTCAACTAAGAGAGTTGCAGGAATCCCCCTGGAGTGAATGCATACAAGGGTTTTTTTTTTTGTGCAGTTATGCCTCCCTCTGCTGGATGAGGTAGTCATCAGACACAGTTTTCCACAAGGTTACTTCATTTAACTCCTACATTTTGATCAAAGTATATTTTTTACAGTTTATTTGTCTTTTAAAACACTGGTCAAGTATCATCACTATTAGGATTATTTCATATCTGCATAGTAGTGGAGGCTATACTTTACTGTATCCACATTGCAAAGTTAGTCCATCATCTAACATGGCTTAACTAAAGCCAGTGTTAAGCCTAGATTATTCTGCAGTGTGGACATGCACCCATGAAAGCATTTTACTTTTCTACTCCACGGGACACTTGCTGACTTAGGGAGAGGATTAAATTCACTTAACGCAGCCCTTTGCATGCTCATGGATGCAGAATGTACACCAGCCTTACAGTATGTGGTGCAAGCACCGGTGCAATGCATTTTGTTGACATTTCGGTTAATTGTTTTCGAATATATTTTAAATTTCCAAGCCGCCATGTTGGTTAGGTTGGAAATCCAGGAGCAGCTCCTGACATCCAAAAGTTCCCCTGTGGACACGTGACTTTATAGAATCGACACGGTTGCACCGCTTCTCAACAGTAGATGCTAGACAGACGTGAGAGGAGGAAGGGTCAAATATGGAGCTCCGACAGAAAAGAAATACAAGCCACAGCCTCCTACAATGAGGCAAGCACTGGCTGCACCTGATTGGACGAACACTCTACGAACAGAATTGCTTATTTGGAGAATTTCAAATAAAGTTATGTAACAGTTATGTATTTCTGAAAAGATCTGATTCGAGAAATAAGCCATACAGCTGCTGAAACTGTCTTTGTTTTAGATCAAACCAGTGTCAGCTGGACACTCCTGATTTACATCAAGTAGCTTATACCTCAACTTTATGCACTGTCATTACTGTTTTAATGTTTTTGCAACTGCATTTGAAGAAACTTTCAAAGTTCTTTACATTTTCTGGACTGACTGACTTTAATAGCTTAAATTAATGATGGACTGTTCATTTCATCAAGCAGTTCTTGCCACATTATGGATTACTACAGCATGTGAACAGGGCTGTTTGCTGCATACCAACACTACTTTGACACAACACATCTGACTGTCTCAGACGCATATAAGAAGGCAAGAAACTCCACCGATGAACATTTGATGAGACTGACCTGTTAACTGTAAACCATCCCAGTGACGTCATAAAGCAGTGGTACCTCTGAGGAAACTAAAATGTGAAACAAATATTGGTTTGACAATTTGTTTACAACAAAATTAAACTTTAACCTGTACTGTAGTTTTCTCCTAATGTAGGTTTTCAGTAACTGTGATATATTTCAGATCCTTCTTAAAATCTCGACCTCACTGACTTCCTGAGTAAGCATTTTGCAGAACACACGAAAAGAGAGCAAACTACATTCTCCACAAGCTCTATCTGCTTCCTCCCTTGTTTCCCATTTATAGCAATAGCGACTGTTCTTAACATGCATCAAACTACTGATTTATTCATTCTTTATTTAAATGCAGCAGCTGTGGTTTCAGCACTGGATACAAAAGAGACAAGGCTTTATTGTGATATACAAAGTCACACAGTGTGGTTAGACGTCTGACAGCGAATATTCTACATGAGTAACAAAATAATAGACTTACGTGAAGGCACCTTCAGTTCACACATGACCACAGAAGGACACACAGTTCAAATACTGTTCATCTATAAATTGATTTTCCCACTGAAGAAATGTTGTGAGTCATTAGCTTTGATTTTAAATAGAGTAACATTGGAGCACATTAGAGCACATTGGAAAAAAAGCAGCAAAATATTGTTTACAAAAGTATCTTACAAGTTTTAGAAAAATAAAACATGTGCAAGCCCAGATTAGCAGTTCCTCCAACATCTACAGATTAGTATATCTGTTTGTACATTCTGAACAGTGACATTTTTGCATATTAAATGAAAGTGCAGTATGAGTTTAAACATGTATTTTATATTTACACATACATTTGTTATAGAAAAGTTTGTAAAACTGCTCCTACTTCACTTAATGCATCAGGAATGATTACAAATACATACATAGTTCACTTCATTCATGTGCCACATTTTTTTTCAAACCGATCTGCAAAAAAACGATTTAAAATGTGTTTTTACAGTGTCTGTCCACAAAGTGCAGGTTTAGTTGATTGTCTGGAATCAGAACAGTGCGATTGATGGACTTCAGCTCTCCTATTGTGGGATCTGGTTTGATTTCAAACTGCCTGATTAGCTGGAAAAGAATAAATAAACACAGAGTTAACTGAAGTTACATGATAATCGACCTGACTGAGTGAAAATAGGCCTCCAAATGTTTGCAATAATGACACAGAACCATGTTGTAGAATCATTTTTACCCACCTACCTGCTTGTTAATGGAAGCTATGACTATCTTATATTTATACATAAATGAATCAATGATTATAAATTACTATGTTAAATGTGAAAGGCAGCTGTTTGCAGCTAACTGTGCACTACGAATCCGGCAGCAAAGTTAGCAACTAGCTGGTGAACATGGTGGATCATCATGAAAAGAGTTGTTGACGAGCAAAAAATAAGCAGAAAGTATCATTATTACAATATTGGAGTCCTGTCAATTGGCCTAAAACACAAGTGTATCAAAGGTAATACAACGCTTTGTCTGCTATATGTGTAAATGGACAGCTGCTTGCTACCACAGTGCAGGTTTTCATCATAGTAGTAGGTCATTGTTTCGCATTATGTTTATCCTGCTGCCCCCAAATGGCCAAAAAAAAATAATCTTTCCATGCAACTTGAAGTCCAATCTGATTGGTGCACCAGCAGGTTGTATCACACACTAAGTTTGCCAGGCTTCCTTTGTGTAAGTCGGCCCGACAAAAACTAAAGCCCCAGTCAGAGATAACAGGTATCGCAAAGGTTGTTATCAACTTTCTTTGTTAACTCAGGCTTTCTGCTTCAAACCACAGACTGCAGAAGAAAGAAACTTTGATGTTAGAAAGCAATCTATCTTATACAGTCGATGCTTTAAACTCTGTTGCACATTCACATAAAAGGAGGCATTTAATTCATCACGGAAATCTTCTTCACAGAATGAAACGATCATGTGCTACTGTTTTAGTCAACAGGTTGTTTTAATGTAGAACACGGAAATGTATGACGGTAAAAAGATCTGCTCCTGGAAGTGATGCAAAACAGGAGTGCTGCTGGCAAACTTGTAGCGTGTAATACATTTATTTTATCGAACAGTGCAGCTGATTTTTTTCTCACTGACAGCTTCACATTAGAGCTTCGAAGGTCTGACACTGTCCCAAGATATGCATCACTCATAGAGAATAGTCAGGAAACAATTTGGTTAAAGGGGGATGCTTTTTAGAGCTGATTTCAATTGGAAACTTTAAACATAACCCGCTTAGCTCCACACCATAAGTCACTGTGGTGATCTAGCAGGGTAAAAGAGAACCACCTTAGTGACACTGAAAACCCTGACTTTAGGCTCAACATACCTCGCTAACCCACTGACCTCGCTCTGTAGTACAGCCCTCAGGTGTAGGGCAGTCACATTGATTGCACATCTGCAGCATTTTACAGTATAACCTCTTCCCAAAGAAAATTAAATTACAATCCCTACCAGCCATGATACCTTGTGACCCTTGACCTCTAGCGGAACAATTGTTTTTTAGCACTGATTGAGCCCAAAATCTAACCATTCTGAGGAGAGTCCATTCCTAGCTCACCTGTAAAATAACAACTTGCTAGACATCAGCACTCGAGCTACAGACAGTTCACAGACACACACACAGATGAGACCAATTACTCTACAGACAATTATACAACAATTAAGGATTTCTGGAACAAAGGATTTCTGGTAGTCTTTGATTCCATACAAGATGACTTAAAGCCCGACCGATGTATTTATGCGATGAAGATTGTACTGATTTTATTCCGATATTGAGGGTGTCTTATGGCCTGTACATATGTTAAAAAAAAAAAAAAGTTTGCAAGCAAACTCTCCCTGTAATTTTATAGCACCGGGGTTTAAATCAGATTTTGCGTATTCTGCAGATGGTGCAATGGGGTTTTCATCACTTGTCACTTACCTGAAACAGAAGCAAATACATCTCAAGCTCGGCAATCCGGCGACCAACGCAGCCTCTCACTCCAAAACCAAATGGGATGGAACCAAAAGGGTTTGGCCTCACTCGTCCATCACGGAGCCACCTCTCCGGTTTAAACATGAACGAGTCTGGGAACGTGTCCTCATCATGACTAATGGCATAGTGACAAAAGAAGAACGGGGTCTGGAAAAACAACATCAGAAAGATGAAACAGAGAACGTCTGATCTAACTTGAAACTCTAATGTGTTCGTTTTTTTGATGCCTGATCTTTAGACTGTATAAAGAAAATGCCACAACTTTAAACACTGGTATAATCAGCACTTGAGTTAAATCCTAGCACTATCATTTTACTTCTACTTTGCATTTCTGTTGAAGCTACAACACCTGCTCACACAAAACAAGTACAGAAAGCTTTTGAATGGTTAAAAAAAAAAAAAAAAAAAGCAGACCTACTTTCTTTGGAAAATGATATCCACCAATCATAACACTCTTTTCTGTTATGATCCTTGCGTTCATAGAAACCACAGGATACATCCTGTAAAACAAGAAGTTATAGTTTCATATCGTTTATTATATTCTGGCTCCTCACTGATGCAGTAATAAAATATACAGACAATATGTGAAGTTTTATGACAGGTAATCAGGAGAATACATCTAGATCAACTTGTCTGTAAATGTTTTTACTGACATGACCTCTGCCTTTGGCTCCGTCTAGTGGAGCACCTTTGTACTACCTGTACTTTCCAGTGCAATAGCCAGAGGGACAAGTAACCAGGTGTTCGGAGTTACAATTAGCCAATTGCTCCAGCTGCGGCGAGGCGTGGCTTGCCACTCACTCAACAGACCTTCACACAGTATTTAAGATGCCAGCAAGCCACAAGTTGACGCTGGATCGTTGTAAACTCACGTTAGTGTTGTGCTTGTTCCTAAACTCTGCTCGTTGTTTTTTTTATTCTGCTTCTAACACTACTCTCCTGTGCTCCAGTTTTCACCACGCTCACTGCATACTGAGATCCATCATTCATCCCCAGCTCCTCTCTGTTGGATTCTACGGGCTCCAGCTTTCCATATCCTCCATGTCCCTCTGCTGAAGTCATCTGGTTCATCTCTGTCTCCATCTCCCTTGCATTTAGCATTGTGGTTTAACCAGTCTCTCGCCTACTCAATCAGTAGCGTTAATATTAGGTTTGTATCCTTTGTGGTAACTTTGTTTGTAATATGTAATTATAGTTCGTCATCCTCTAGAGGATGTTTTGATAAATTCCTTATAGTAAGTATTAGTTTGTAGTAGTTCATGTTGCTGCTTTGTTTGTTACTGGGTTTCACAATTTGTATTTGTGAATAACAACTGTTTGGTGGTCGTGTCATTTGTCTGCGCTTGAGCCTTTGTGTTAGAAACTGTGACATTTACATTATTAATATGTACTGGTAAACTGGTAACAAATGGCTTTAGTTGAACTCCAGTCTTGTAACTAATCTAAGCAGTCTCACCTGAGTGTTTCCTTGATCACAGCCTTTAAATACGGCATGCCAGTGACCTCTGCTGCAGTGGGATTCCGGTCTGCAGGTACCAATGTGGACACTTCTTCATAGAGTCTGTCCTGGATTACAGGGTTCTTGGACAGCTGGTACAGAGCCCATGTGAGGGTGTTGGAGGTCTTGACAATAAACCAATGTCAAAAAGTAAACAGGCAGAAAGATGCAAACATAGAGTAGATGCAGTACATGTAATTGCAGAAGAAAAATTAGAGATCTTGTTGAGAATGAGTTGGTAAGATGGTTTTTGAAGGAAAAATCATATCCAACAGAGTGATGTGGTGGTGATCCATATCTGTAGAAACTCTGGCCTAAAACCCTGGTTTGATTATGGAAGAAAATACTTCTATTATAGATATTGATCAAGTGTTTCACTTACTGTGTCCACCCCAGCTAAAAGAAGCTCAGCAATGCTGCCATACACGTCTTTCGTGCTCATCTGAGTTTTTGAGAGGAGGTATGTCAGATATTCACCCTCCACGTCTTGGTTGTTGTCGATTCGCTGCTGAATGGCTTCCATCTTCTTGTCAATCAACTCTTTCGCTAGAATAAGTGCAAAATTGAGGTGACACCCGTCATGTTTAACTGATGCTGCTTTAAAACACATCTCCATCACCCGTCCATTGTTTAGTTCCAGCCTAGTGCTGTATTTTACATTCTCTTTCAGATAAACAGAATAATTGGCACAATAACTAACACTACATTTACCTTTATGTCTGTGTGACATAACATGAAAATGATGTACAGATAAGTCTGTCAGGTTAAAGCAGCTCACCAAAGCTGAAGATGCCCTCCCAGCCAGCGATGTAGCGCCTCCAGTGAGGCAGCAGGTTACGACCCCACTTAGGAACCACCATCACAGCCATACTGTTGGAGAACATCTGGGCTATGGAATTGATGAATTCTTGTGTACCAGCAGGGATTTCCTTTTCCAGACTCCCAAGCCTGGTCTCGAACAATATGGAGGCAATACCTGAGTCCAGGTTGAGGAAGAAGAAACAATCAAAAATCTATTACTGAAACTTCAAGGCTATTTCAATAAGCATGACTGTTGTACTTGATTCCACACTTAACACCAGCAGCATGTGAGCAGTTTTCTAGTCTCTCTTTTGTCATTGAATAAACTACTCAGCAACAGGGCTGGCTGCTTATTTCACTCATGATGTCTTCTCACATGTAAAAGAAATAAAAAAAAACCCTGTTGGTTTAACTTCCACCTGAGGGGGTGTCAGATTTGCTACCTACCCTCTAGTGAAAACAGGTACAGCTCGTTGGCCATGTCGGTCACGGACTCGCCTGTGGGGCTGCACTGGCGCAGGTAGCGGATCTTCTTGGTGAAGTCTACTACCACGTCATTGATGACCCCACCATACTGTGCTGAGTCCTTCGGGTGCAGCATGCGCTTGTTCAGCGCCACCCTCAGGTTGTACCACTCCTCCCCCTCCCTAAAGAGAAAAAGAGGCGCAAAGAGGAAACTGCTTTAGGTTTCCAAACATGAGGCACCTTTGATATCAATGCTGACTATGATAATCCAAACACAGACCCAACATATGGTTTGATCATCCCAGTGAAGGATTAACAAAGAAACCCACAGCGTGATACACAATACACTTTTATGGTGTCGTGTTCTCCTTTGTTTCCAGTGTTTTTCAAAACCAGCTCCATACTAGACATTAGAAGAGGGAAAACCAAAAAGTAAGCACAACCAAACTCAAAGCTGGGTGTGATCAGGTGCAGCCAGCTGTGATGTTTTGTAGGGTACAGCTACATCAATGCCGCAAAGGGTCTGGGAATAAGTTATCACCACTAGTTGGCAGTACAGATCTGATTATTAGACTGGAGAAAGTTGTCTAAAATACAAGATGAGGCCGCTTTACATGAACTGTTGCCAATGAACTAATTTATGTTAAGAAATTGACATTATAGACAGGCACAAATAATAAAGCTGTTTCTGTAAGTCATGATGATGTGACAGTGAGCCGCCATGAAAAACAGCAGGACCCTGGAGCTATTGGCACAAAACTGAAAATTTTCCCCTTAAGAATCACACTTAAGGCTTCTTTTCTCCTTAGCCGTGGGACTTACTTAAGGTTGTTTCACAGAATCCCTAAAAACTTTTCTTAGTTAGGGAAAAACATCAAAGCATTACTGCATTGACAGATTTTATAGCAAAAAAAACTTTGAGTGTGTTTGCTTGTGCTCACGCTTATGATACCTGTTATCATCAAAGTAGTCCAATAGATGTTTTTTCTTTTTTGAATGGCAGCAGAGAAGAAGGCAAGAACAGCAAATAGATCAAAAGAAAAAAGATGATACGACTGGAGGAATACTAACTTTAAAGGATTCCAGCACTGTGAGGCCAAAATAAGAGGGAAACCTTAATTACTTAAGTGAACATTTAAAGGAAACCTTAAGGAGAAGACTTAAGGGTGTTTTTGTGCAACTGACCCCAAAGAGTGAAGCAGCGAAACGGAATTCAGTCATCAGTAGTTTTCATGTGCTCTTCCTGTGTTAAACTGTCTGATGTGATCAAGCCCTGTTGTCTAAGGCTGTTAGTACTCTGCAGTAATGAGTGATAATAAATTGCTTTTTAGCTTAGAGCTAAAAACAAGTTCCAGCTACACTGATCACGTTCCAACAGCAGTAAGAATGCAGAGGTGCACTCTGGGTAACTAGCACAAAGTACCAGATTTATCCTGCAAATCCCATTGTCTACTACTTAACTAGTTACATAATTCAAATCACCAACAGAAGACTTAAATAAGAGCTAGAACGTGCAATGCATCAACACTCCCGTTCTGGAGAGTATCTGTGTGTGATAGGACCACACGATGAAATTCAAAACCACATGATAACTAAAAACAGCTGCCTCAAAAGCTGGTCGAGTCGACTTACAGTCTGACATCTAAACCTAACATAATTATCTCTAATTGTTCATAATTATTCATGATTTGTCAGTCTGGAGGAAAAAAAGTGCTGACTCTTTAAGCTTTTGAATTAACTTTAATGCTAGTGGTTAGACTTGGCTGGAAAATCAGAATGGAAAAAGGAAAACAGAAAAATTAACTCTACAATTTTAAAATATAACATCTTGTAGCTCTAAAGCCTTTGCACCCTAACTTCGCACCCTCTACCTCTGTTGTAGAGATTGTTCATGTTTCTTTTTTGGAAAATAATGAGAGAAATTAGCTACATGAAACCAATATTTTGCTAATTGCATTTAGGATATCCATCCAGGGGTATTTCCCATCTGACCTCATCACCCTGCACAATCATAATGACCCACAGAGGCACAATAATCACATTAATGGGGACTACACTAGCTTTGGATAAACTTGAATGATCCTTTATCATGGTTTGCTTAAACTGTGTGAGAACTAACATATATAAATGATAAGTGACTATTTTACAGCAGCAGTGTCTGAATCTATTCTCTGTTTACTATATAGTCCACTACATGTGCTGTTACCATTTTGTTTGACTTTGCTTGAACTTATCGACTCTCACACTTATGGACCTCAAAATGCCACAATGAAAAGACAGGGGGGCCAGTAGGACCTCCTAACAATCTCACAATAATATAACATTTCTTTCTTTTAATATCAACCTAACAGTTTGAGTGTCCATGATTTTAGAAAAATATTTCTTTGCTCTCCTTTTGCTCAAATGACCGTAAAAGTCTCACTGATACCAAGAAGTCAGAATTATCCAAGCCACTCACACGACGGAGCTTTTTCCATCAACAACCAAAGCTTCAAAGTATTCTACAAAGAATAAGAATTTTTAAATGGAAATCTGAACATTTCATACAGTACTTTGTGATCTTACTCTGTGAAAGGCCCATAACCGAATCCTCTCATATCGCGGTACTCTTTCCACAGGGACATGTCTCCTCGGCAAGGAAACTTCTCTTCGTGCCTCAGGATTTCCTCCAGCAGCTTTGGGGTGTTCACCGCCACCGACTTCATTCCATTTCTGTATATGGGTCCATACAGCTGCTTCTCATAGATCTGACAGTAGTGAAAGTGAAAGTTAATGTGAGACGAGTTGACAGAGAAACCTGTGAAAGCAGCCTCATAATGCATGAGGTAAAAAGAAGAACTTTAAATGCTACTCCATTAATCATTTATTAGTATTATTATTAAGTTCTCTTGCCAATCACATTTGTTAGCCAAGTAGCAGATATCCCTGGTCTGTGAGAGAGGGACTGAATGCTGTGACTATGCTGGCCTCACAAACAGTCGCTCTGCAATGAGAGTAAACAATCCTGGTCTCTGTGAGAGTCGGCTGACACCAGCTGTTGTTATCTAGAGGTTACTATAGAAACAAAGGTAATGCAACCAGCAGAACATTTTACCCCGACACAATAAGTTCTCAAATAAATGGTCAAATTGGACAGTCGATAGAGTTATTCAGGTCTTCTAGAATGCATCATAGAGAAGGCATGCAACATGTCAGACACACATTGAAACAAGCATGCATTGACATGCAGCCACTGCACACAGGTCAGCGGTGTGCTGCAGCCTGGCATACCTGCAGCTCATGCATACGGTTGTGAAAACCCTGAAAGATCAGCCTGTAAAGCAGCTCCAGCAAGCTGACTTGTGGGAGGTCCTTCATCGTCTGAGGCTTGTCCTGGACGGCAGAGAGGGTCGCTGGAGAGGACGAGGACCTCCTCACCCCCCTGGAGCAGACCGGGGCCACGGCGACAGAGCGGTGCAGCCACCAGCTGCCATTCATACGCACGACTCTGCAGGACAGCAATGCAGCCATGTCCGGGCAGAATGGTGAAAACACCAGGCTCCTGTTACATCCAAGAGAAGAAGTGAGCAGGGAGGGGCCACGTCTCACAGGATGTTTAACCCTTCCAGCCCAGACAAAGAGCCACACGGGACCATTCCATCTTTACATAATAAACGGTCAAAAGCTGTATTTGATGTGCTGAGAATCAGAATCAGAATCCTTTTATTGTCCTTATGGCAAACGTTTCCATACACACAACGACATTTTAGTCAAGAGCCTCTGCTTTCAGCAAAAAAAAAAGAAAAAAAAGGCATAGATAGACTTCCGGCAACCAAGTATAAACACAAATAAGAAAGTATAAACAGAAATACTCTGATATAAATATAAACATTCTAGAAAGAAAGAAAAGAAAAAGTGCAACAGTGTAGGAAACTTTGTGATTCTCTCTTGTACACAACATAGCCCATATCTATAAAACATGTACTAAAGTATATATTACAAAGACGCCGCTAAATAGCAAAGTTCCTGTGGAAAACCTAAGTAAGTGGAATGTTTCTAACTGCATACTGATCTGTACCACATAGCCTGACATATCAGATCATCTCAAAGATGAGCTGCAACAAGACTCATGACTCTCCAACAGCATCCTGGTAGTCAACAGAAAACCTGTTTTCACATATTTTTAGCCTAAACTGGCTGGAGATCTTTTAAAAGTTTGGCTGGTAGATGGTCAAGGATGCAAGTAGATTTACAAATTTAAGCAGCATCTCAAGAGATAGAGTCTCAAATTTCTTTAAGTCAAAGGATATTGACAAATCAGGCATACTGTAAGAAACAGCTGGAGATGAGTAACTTTATAAGATACCTAAACGTTACTGATTAGTAAGACAGGTGGGCTGCTTTGGAGTAGATCTGATGAAAGTGCCAAAGAGAAGTCAAAGGCTGTGTTTATTGTACTGACGCAGCGAGAGAAATATGATGCTCTGTCAGCAGACAAAGCACGCTTGTAACCCAACACACATTTGTACCATCAGAAGAGGAAACGTTCTTGCTTAGATTTAAACCATTTGCAATCCAATCTCTCCACTTCAGAGGGAGATACTGTGCTTCCGACTCCACCACATTTGTGTAACAGCTTTAGCTTGTAGTTATTAAAACACTTTGCACAGTGGAAAACATAGTGCAACACACAGATGAACCCAGTGCTTTTCAACTTTGTAGATTCTTCCAAACAGCAGTGTGTAGTCAGTTTAATAAATGCAGGGCCCCAGACTAACTTTTTCACTGGTAGCACTGGTACTACCAACTTTCTCAGTTGGTAGCACCAGCACATGATTTGGTCACACCCTTTTTTTTTTCAACAACAACAAAGTATTAATCAACCCTACATTGCATTAAATGGCTGTCATGATTTGCATACCCTATTTTGCACTGATGTAAAGATTGACAGTAACTTGATATTTCCCAAAATTTCAAATCTTCACATTAAGTTTAACAGCAAAGAGCATCACTTGTTTCAGGAGCAGCAAACTGAACCAGCTGATGAAAATGAAAAGATCTGAAAGGAAGCGGCAGAATGCCACAAATGTCCTATCCTCCATGGTAGCTTTGATCTGCAAATGTAGCTCTCATTCTCAAGTCTTATAAAACACCAAAGTGAAATTTGGTCCGTGGTCCGTTCAGCTGAGCAGACTGTCAGATCCACCCTCCCCAACCTGTAGGACATCTACACCCAGCGATGCAGGTCAAGGACTGTGAAGATCCTGAAGCAACCTAGTCATCCTAGAAACTCCCTTTTTTTCCTGCTGCCGTCAGGCCGACGCTATCGTTTGCTCAACTTTGATATGCAAATCCGGACTGTGCAATACACACAGGCACCTTTTACACATGCACCTTATGTATCATAACAGTGTTCTATTTGCTTTATTTATTTGCTTTATTCATGTGTATGTATATGTATATATACATAAAGTATACATATTTCTTGAACACTTATTTTTACTTTATTTTTCTTTTCATTGAAACTGGATGCTGGTACACAACACATTTCACTGCACATTGTTCCATGTATAAATGTGTATATGACAAATAAAGCTGATCTTGAATCTTGAAATATCAGAATCAATCTAGCATTTCATTCAATTCATTTATATTTAGAGCAAGAGAAGAAGAAACGAACACAACGTCCAACCACGACTCCTGATACAGCAGTTACCTGTGCCGACCTGAGGGGCACAACAGCCTGATGATCAAATACTGGCACACATGAAACCCCACTTCTAACTCGCACACTCTTATAAAAATCGGTGGCATATGCGACCATTTTGGTCACAGTCTGGAGCAATGAAATGTACTAATGAGCCAACACCTAAAAATCAAAGATTGGGGAAAAAGTCCAAAAAACTGAAAACACGTTTGTTGATCAGAACTTTGTTTTTTCGTCATTCCTCTCCTGTGAGTTGAGCCATTGGATTTATCGTATGTCCCTGTATATAAAACTGTGTGTAAAGTATTTTAAACCAGCTCCACCTGCAGCAGCTGCAACAGTAACATGCTGCTCACACACTGATGCTTCACTATTCATGATCTAATGATGGCTGATACAATAATATACTAGTCACAGGGACCAAAACAGCACTTTTGCATTAATACTTCAACTACATTTTGCTGCTAATGCAGGACTTTTTGACTCTTTAGTCAAAAAGACATATTGTGATGTGTTTGTCTCAAGTGCATTGCTGTACTCGTACTTTTACTCAAGTAAAGCATCTATACCTTCTCCTCCCTCTGGTGTACGCATTAGCAATAAAATAACTTCAAAGAGGAACGTGAAAACAGTGTGCTTGTGGTTCTTATATTTCTCTTTATTCAGTGATCAGTCTCCAAACTCCTTCCAGTCCTTTCATTCTTTAATTTGGGCAATATTGTCTATAGATCCTGCAGCGTCCATTTTGTGCAACAGAAGGTGTCCTTGCACCTGGGCAGCGCTGACCTCAGGATGTACGGCTAAGGCACGCTCCGCAAACCGCTCTCCTTCAGAGGCAGGTTCGTCTGGGTAGAACCGCCGGAACATCTGGGTGAGCTGCCAGTGGGTGCAGTGCCCGATGTACTGCTTCAGATCGACGCGGCCCGGTCGGATGAGAGCTGCGTCTAACCTGTGTGCAGAAGTTACAGACAAGACGGGCAGTTAATTAAATACTCCTCAATGTGCAGAAAGTAACACATTCAGGTAGGCATGACAATTTAGTTTGTAACACCCATTTAAAAAGGTGTTATTGTAGTCAGATGGTTATAGTTCAGCAGAGGGCAGCACCATGCTAAAGTTTTACTCTGTCATTTTTGTTTAAACATTTCAAAGCTGCATGACTTTGGCCACTTAAAGGTGGTAGAGCATAATGAAAACAAACCAGATAACATTGTTCTGGTGAATTGTGGGTGAAAAAGAATGGCTAACTTTGTATGAAGCTTGGTGTAGAGCAGGTTGTGTACATGAGGAAGAAACCACTTTAACATTACATATCATCATTCCAGCCACTGTTAATGCAGAAATATATGATGGTGCAGCTTTAAGATTTTGTTTTTCATTAATTTTTTGTTTTAGATTTTACTTCCTTTGTGGTTTTAGCTACAATATAGTCTAACATGTTTTAAATTTGGGTTCAACTTTTTTTCCCCCTTTCTAAAACATCCTAACCTTCACAAAGCTAGAACTTAATGCAGGACTGTTGCATTAGACTGCATTAGTTTTGTTTGGAGTCCTTCATTAACAGTGAACTAGACGCAGATTGGCAGCACTAAATGAAAACACACTGTATACATTCATAAGAAGCCAAAAATTTTTGCCGTCTTGCTCGTCTGTCTTATTTCAGTTGAAGATGTATGAATGTGTGGAAAGGTGCTTCATACTGTGATTATGAATTTCCTTCCAACAATACCTGTCTATGAAGTTTGTGGTCATAAAAACTATTCTGGCCTCAGAAGAAGCAACTCCATCAAGAGAGTTGAGAAGTCCACTGAAGGTCAGTCTTCCCATTCCCTGGTAGGCCAGAGGGTCTGCGAGGCAAAGAAAACACAACTCAGTGGTTTGAAAGTCATCCTCAAACCAGAATACAACATTTGTCTGAGAAACCCAAGTTTTACAAATTACTTCTACACTGAATTTCTGTCTTTTACACCCCAAAATTTGAGCTGACACATAAACATAACAATCTAAAACAGACAAAAGAATAAAAACAACCACAAATAACAGCAATTTGTGTCTCCGGACGAGCCTCCCTGCTACTTACTCTCAGTGGGAAGCAGGTCTCGGCTGACGAAGGCTGCGTCTACGTCCTCCAACAGAATGATGCTTTGCTGCGGCGCCACGCTCAGGAGGTGGTTCAGACGGTCATCTGAGAGCGTTCGGTCACTCAGACTCATCAGACAGATGCTGTAGCCCAGCTCGCCTGCCAATGCCGTGCTGAAACACAGCGAGTTACAAAAATGTTGAAGAACTGTTGGATTCCAAACAGAAAGGTGGAGAAATCGAAACTAACAGCACACTCACATAAAGCTACTCTTTCCACATCCCGGGGGACCATACAACAGATATCCTCTCCTGTAGGGAATGCCTGCACAAACAGTGAATCACAGTCAACCAGATGGCTGTCACAGAAAAACCAGAAGTTCTTCCACAAAGTAGGTGATTTAACCAATCTCCTTGTTTATCACGTTAGCCAGTTAGCTAGAAATCATCTATATTTCATCAATGCCAACATTTTGAAAAACATACTGTAATTTCACACATTTCATACGGTCATTGCTTTTGTCAA